TTCCCCATTTATTTGTCATGAACAAGTAGATATTGTAATCAACCTTAAAGCTAAGTAGGCTTAATACAATGGAAACTCCATGTACAGTATCTAAACTTGAATTTATTTAATTAAAATACAAAATTGATGGTAAAAGAAAAGAAAGGGTTCACAATAAAGTTTACAAAGAGTGGAAATGAATTTTTACTAGTTAAAGCTTTAGGCTAAGCCTATTACAATAGTTCTAATTTAAGTTCAGGTGTTATAACTTATTGCATGGATCTTTATCTCAGGGGTGATCGAGCAGCATTTGAATTTAATCTTGTGATTATAAGATAGCCTAGTTAAATTTTGTTTTGAAATATAAATTATATTCAAATTATTTACTGTGTGGTTGAATTAATTAAAGTTCTGAATATAAGCTTCTATTAGTTTCTTGACTTTGAATGTTAGTATTTAAATGTTCCAAAAATTAGGCCTAAAAATGTTCTAATGGCTTCCAAGTAAAGAAAATATCTAATGGAGTGATCTCACAAAAAACTGATGTCTTCTTCACGGTAAATTTCTCGATGTATTAATTATTAATGTTCTTAACAAGGACGGTTCTTCTTTAACCAAATTTCACTAGTTTATTCCAAACTAGCTGAGTACCCGTCCTTCGTACGGGGTTGGTATACAATGCTTATTGTAGTTATATACTCGTGCTTTGCATTTGCAATGAGAGAGGACACATTTTGAGAAAATTTGGTTTACTATAATCTACGGTATACTATAGTATATAGAACATCTACCATAGCCATAATGTTCTACCACTTCACCTAAACAATAGAAAGAAGTAAAGTTCTCACACTGAGGTTTTTGTTGCTGCTTGGTTCAAATTAGCTGTTGTCATAAATGTATAAAGAACTAATGGTGCTGCACCCTGTGGGTAAACCGTATAACCTTTTAATGCTATTGAATATCATAGAAACAAATTGTGTAGTTGAAACAGCTGGCAAAATTATTTAATTCCTTTTAAATATGAATACTCATAAGGATAACATGGGAAATTCTAGAGCCGCTGGGGCGGAGCCCGAAAGAATTTTTGAGGTAGGAATATGTCTATATGTTAATCGGGAATGTGAGCTATCATCATACCAAATTTCAACACAATCCGACCAGTAGTTAATGCGTGATTGAACTTCAAACAAACAAACAAATAAACAAACACACAATTTTTCACATTTATAATATTAGTATATTATTCCAAATATAGGCACTTTTAGCGAATTTCCCTATAGGGAAGTGTTAGCGAATTTCCCTATAGGGAAGTATTAGCGAATTTCCCTATAGGGAAGTATTAGCGAATTTCCCTATAGGGAAGTAGCTATTACCGTAGGTGGCACAGTAAGACCTAGGCCCGGGACTGATTTACTTTTTCATTTTGATGTCCCCAGAGGCCAAAAACACCATTCGTTCAAATTTGTATATATGTAAATATATATCTATATTTATATTATTATATATATCTATATTATATAATATATCCGTCCGGACGATAACTTGAGTAATTTTTGTCCGATTTTGATGAAATTTGGTTCTAAGGTGTAAGGCAGGATAAAACTTGGATGAGTTCGCGAACCGGCATGAACGGACCTTGGGAACGGGGTTTTACGGGGGGTTTTATGGGGTAAAAAATGGTTTTCTAATTTTTGACCCTCAAAACACAAAATTTCCCAATTTCTCTCTAGACCTTTTTAAAGAGCTTAAAAAAACAAATAATTTAGTATATCAAAGCGTTTTTGCACGGTAATTAGTAACGGAAAGATTCAAAAAATTATAAATTTAAAATTCCAATGTTATTCTTATGGAGAATATTGTAATGTTGTAGTTTGCTTGTTTATGGATATATTTTGATAAAACTTGGCAAATTATTTATTTCACACTAAGCTATTAATATTTTACTAAAAACCCCCACAGAAGTTTCCTTGTCGCAGCAAACCTAGGTAATAGTTTAATTCGTTAAACCTAATGTTATTTAAATAGATTTAATTAAAAATCAATTCAGACGAATGGAAATTCGCTTAGTCAGCAGGTTTGCTGCGGCGGGGGTATTTTTATAAAATTTTGATACTAAAATATGCAGTTTACAAATTAACATCTTCATACTAGCTCAGCTCTCTTGGAAGTGATGAAGGTTTGATGCATTGTTGCATTCACACATGTCAATGCTGACTTAATCACAGAAAATTGTAGGACATTGTTCACACATATATATTATAACAATGTTCATTTGCTAGGGAGCTAAATTTGAATTTTGAAAAGTTATTTAAGTAAAATTATATTGAATTTGAAGCAATTTTGTTACAAAAAGTTATATGCTATTATATGTACATGAAATTAGGTTATTTGAAAATTTTCTATTTTATATTGTATTGGAACAATTACCTTTTGGTCTGTTTGGCCATATATTATAAAAGGTTTGATAATTGAGATGGATTGACATATTGATAAAAATAAAAACATATGGTAAAAATTAAATTATTCTATTGAAAAATATTAGTGAAAATATTGAAATGTTGAATTGTTACAATATTTTTTAAACTTAGGCCTACTATGATGATTGCTTTCATAAATTTCAAAACATATTGTAGGCTACAGCCATATCCTCTTAAAAGCTGTTTAGGCCTAGGGCCTACTGACTTTCTAAAGCCATTATTATTGTCTATAAGTTATCTGTGTCCAACTGTCCAAAAACCGGGTACACTTCCATATCTGTTGGCACAAACAACCGAATGAAAATATCGATCGATATATCGTTCGGTTAGTTAGGTACGGTAAGGTTAACCTAACCTAACTAACCAAACGATATATTGAATTAAACAATCGAATAATCAACATTACTCGTTCAGTTGTTTGTGCCAACAGATATGGAAGTGTAACCCAAAAACCTCCCATTACACCTATTATTTGTCATGAGTAAGTAGACATTTAAAAAATTAAACTATGACGATGACTTGCATTCATGAATTTCAAAAGATAGGCCTAAGTTTACTGTAGGCCTAGTCTACGAAGCCATATCTCCTAAAAGCCGTTTGGTGACTTTATTTAAAGCCATTTTAACGTCTAGAACTGTGTCCAATTGTCCAATGACCTCCCATTTCAACCGTTATACGTCATGCAAGCAAGTAGACACATTTTTTAACCTTATGTTTTTCTCCATTTCATAAATCTGTCACAATATGTTTAGTATCAAATTCAGTAACAGCATTGACTATATAAAATTAAACAATGGTAATAGGCTACTGATGCTACCGCTGATGCCTGTGCAAGTTAGTAGCTAGCAGACAATTCAACAACTAGGAACACAAAATCAGCTGTTTCTCTGTCCTCGCTGTCGTGATCGGGCGCTCGCCTTTGCCCTAGCATGTCTACAGCTGACTGCTGTAAAAAATGGATGATGCGTACATCTACCCGTAGCTTAATATTTTTTTATTTGTCGTGCTATTGCTCCACAAAGTTTATCCATGTGGAACTTAATAGGCCTACTAGGCTACTCCTACCATCGCTGATATAGTTTAATAAAAACTATATTGATATCTGTTTAACAACATTGATTGTTATAAGGAAGAAATGTAACTTATGTTTAAATTTATTTTCCAGGGTCCAAGAGGGGGGCTTTAGCCCCTGTAGCCTCCCCCTTGGAACTGCCACTACAGTAGACCCCCTCTTAACCGACCCTAATGGGACCGGACCTAGGTCGGATAATTCAAAAGGTCGGATAAAACGGGCAATCCCTAAAATCATAACATAATGAAGTGCTATTCATTTTGAATTATGGTAATCATTATTTTGAAGTCATACTTGCATTATTTATAAAATAAACTACTCTTATATCCTTTTTCATATTGATAGAAATGTCACAAATAAACACAAAACACGGTTAAGTCAAATAGGCCTACTTTCAGTGAATATATTATAATACTAGGCAAGAGTCAATAAAATTCCTATTTTAATAACTTTACTACTGTAGTGTATTAATTAATGCTTTCCAAATACATCGTAATACAGTACAGAACCTTTTGTCGTCATTAAAGATACAAGCGACCATTTTGTTACAAGACAGGACGTTTATTTATGGCCACTCAATGGAGGTTCAAGGCACAAAAACTATCTTGACCTTGGAGTAGTTAACACCCCTTCCCTGCCCTCCCTACAAGTTGCGTTGTTTGTTTACTCCAGCGATAAGATAATCAGTTCTCAAAATCGTAACGCACTTTATGATGTTATAAATTTGCCGCACAGATAACATATCTGATCAGATGTGCTCGAGCTACGAACGATGATGACAAACTGACAATAGGCTATGCTATATTTTTTGTGATCAACACAAAGTAACTTATTGTTAGTCATATCCTGTGGAGATAAGCGTATGGTTCAGTTCTCATCGCCCAGCGTGGGAGCGGAACTGCCGTGATTCCTAGAAAACGGCGGTTAAACCGAGCTGCTCTCAAAGCAAGGTCGGTTAAAACAAACTGTATTATTTTACGATCAAAGGCGGATAATCCGATTATCGGTTAATACGAGGTCGGTTAAGAGGGGGTCTACTGTAGTTAGGTTTCATTTGATTGAGTGTAGGACAGATTAAGTTACTAACTTAAGTGCAGCCCAAGACAAATGAAGGCTTAAACAACTCAGGCTATGCTTACTGCATAACTTATGATAATTTAACTAAAGCCTATTGTTTATGAAAACACAATATTATTAAATTTAAATAAGTGTCAACATGAGAAAAGGGTCATGGATTAAGGGAGTGAGATAAGTTAGTTCTCATACGTTCCTTAATAAGAATACGTTACTAGATGACTTGTGCAGCCTAGTATAATCAAATAGGTCTTAGTAGCCCTAGGCTGTAAGTTACAGTAACTAGGACTAAGTTAAGGCTAGTATCGATATTTTTTTATCAAATGAGTGTAGGACAGATAGTTAAGTGCAGCCGTCTAGTCTACAACTCAGTTATTTTATACAAATCAAAAGCTCACCTCTTATTCTTCATACTATTTCCTAAAGTCATCGTTATCTTTGGTTGAAATGGTATTTTTCTCGTTGAAATAAAAAACTATTTTGGAGCACTTATTAGGGTCTATAAATACTTCGGACTCCTTAGTGATTGAACAAAGAAGGAACCAAAACTAAAAAAAATCCATTAATAGCCACATTTTAGATTAATCCAATTCTCAGATATTTATGATTGGGCTAAACTTAATACAATCAAATATCAATGTACCTATGTTGACAAAAATCTTTAAACATCAGTCAACCCTAAAATAGAGTAGCAAGCAACATGCACTAAACCAAAACAAAACAAGTTTTATAAACACAAACACTAAACAGTATTTAAGTTCATAAACAGTAAACAAAACAGTATTCAGTATTCCTCCCCTCTATCTCTATTCTCACAAGCAGAAAGCAGAAGCAGGCTGAAAACAATAACGCAGAAGCCACTAGGCAGAAGCACAGATAATATCACTGAGCTATTTAGCTCAGTGGATAATATAACCCCTAGTAGGGGTTATATTATCTGTGGCAGAAGACACAGAGAGGCAGAAAAAGAAATGTTATGTACACATTTTAAATTTACATGCAGTACGAGGGATAAAGTTAGAAGGGAGAACGGTAGAAGAGAAGACCGAAGTTATTCATTATAAATTCAAATTGACATGTAACTATCGTCCACTCAAAAATTGATGAGTACTATTTGTGAACATATTTTTAATAACGTTGGGTTCTCATAGTGCATAATTCAACAGTGCCTAATCGTGATTTTTTTGCACAGTTCAAATGGTTTCCTATAGTGTAAGTGCATAACTGTTATGCACTATGAGACTTAAGGCATTGTAGGTTTATGCACTATGCCACAGTTTGACTATGGAATTATGAACTATAAAACATTCGGCAGTCTCACAGTGCATGCATAATTGCGAATTATTTGTAATACAGTGCCTAGTTCGAATTTTGTCCTATAGTGCATAACTACGGCGGGAAGTGCAAATTGGTTAAACGCTGGGGAAGATTCATGTGTAGTATAGTATCGGGTGACTAGTTTGAAACATCAGTTTCGAAACTAGTCGCTCGAGCCTATAGGATTGACGACGTAAGGTACGTAAACCTATTTTATGTTGTCTTAAATCAATACTGGAGGCAATGTGGTATTCGATCTCTAAGATTGTGTTGTAGAAGATCTTTTAGAAATGTATAACTTATTACCATAAAACTGAAAATATGGTTAGCCATAATGCTAATCAGATTTGCAAGTCAAGATTATTTTTCAAGGAGCAAAGTGTCATATCTTGTGTTTAGTTTGGATGATAGGGTATTTTTCATTTGCATGTTCCAAATCAATGTCGTTGAAGTTGATTTTCTCTACCTAAACCACATAGAAGTACGGTACATAGGAAACATTCAATGGTACACTTACGTTGGTGTCTAGTATTTCGTCGATGTCTAAGGCAAAGTCTAACTCTGGACCCATTGCTCTCATGTACTACAACGCTCACGGAGGAGGAAATCTCTGTACCCTGGGGTGCGATAGAAATTTTCACACAGTGGTTGCCCTTCACTAGTAAAACTGTGTATTTGTTGTTTCTGACACAACATACTAGAGCTTAAATCGCACGGTCAGCCCAGCCCAGCTTTAGCAAGTTTTCTCTGCACCTCATCTGTGCCTAAACGATGGTAGTCGTAAAATATTGCTGAGTGAACAAGCAATATTTTACAACTACCATTGTTGTTCATACTGTTCACTCATATAGTACTAGCTGTAACCCACGGGCTTTGCCCCGTTTAACTTCTTAATTTTCAAGATTATCTCGTTCGCATGGCTCAATCACGTCCTTGTTGAAGTTTGTTTGCTACGCTCACTCACCTTTAGGTTGGAGCTCGTTCGCTACGCTCACTCACCTTTAGGTTGGAGCTCGTTCGCTGCGCTCACTTGCCTTCAGTTTAGCTCGTTCGCTTCGCTAACTCGCCTCCAGGTTGAAGTTCGTTCGCTACGCTCACTCACCTTTTGGTTGCAAATTAGCTGTTGTCATAAATGTAAAAGAAATAATAGTGCTGCACCCTGTTGGTAATCCTTGTAACTTTAATGCTATTGAACATCATAGAACAGGACCAACTTGTTTAATTGAAACAGCTGTTAAGATTCAATAATTCCATTTCTCATTAGGTTAACATGGGAAACTCCAGAGCCACTGGGGCGGAGCCCGAAAGGATTTTTGAAATAAGAATATGCCTATATGTTAATCGGGAATGTCAGCTATCATCATGCCAAATTTCAGCCCAATCCGACCAGTATTTTTCGCGTTCACTTGTCACAAACATACATCCATACATCCATATATCCATACATCCAAACTTTCTCATTTATAATATTAGTAGGATACCAAATAGCTATAAAATATATATATATATACAGAATATAATACTGTTCTATAAAGCTATCCTAAAATGAACAGAAAAAAATAAGGTAACTACAGCTCAAACGCTCTTAAACATAACTGGGAATGACACACAAATCACTTTACTAAATTTTACATCAGCTGATGAGTTGATGAGTCTAGACCATTGAGATATAGATTATCCTTGCCTCAAAGATTTAAAAAGTAGAAAACCACTTTGCAAAACTACAGACCAGAGCCATTTTTTTACACTTTGATCAACGAAATCAGCCAAAAATGAGGGAGGAGTTCTGTTTACAAAAATCGGCTTAGGGTATTATATATATATATATATATATATATATATATAATAGATTATATGAATATATATAATAGATTATATTAATATATATAATAGATTATATGAATATATATAATAGATTGTGTGTGTATATATATATATATATAATAGATTTGCATTTCTCAAAAAAATATTTTCTTTACCTTTTAACACACCAAATTATGCATTATATTTGGAAACATGCTGTGAAAAGTTATATTTTTATACTTTGAATGTCAAAATAAATTATTTATTGAAGTGTTTAAGCGGGGAGAATGCCCAAACTTTTAGCCAAACAAATTATTTCAAGGAATGTATTTTGGAGTAAAGAATGAAAGCTTCTGGGAAAACAATTTATTTAAATATTAATTTTCAAAATGATGATTTAGCGGAGCTTAGCGAGCAGTTGAGGTCGGTAGCGGAGGGGCTACGTTGTAGGTGGAGGCACAGAAAACGTACTACTGTGGAGGGGGGAGTGTGTTGGTCGAGCGCGCACCTCCGTCCACCACAGCCAGTTACTCACGCCAGTTACTCGACCTTGAACTTGGAGATAAGAGTCCCCTCAAACTCAACAATACTCGTACCATTTCGTGGATTCCTAAAGCAAGATTAGAGCTTATCGACCTGAATTACAAGCCTTGGCTCGATCAAAATTATAGATCTTCCTTATGTAACCTAAATTAAACTGTCTATCATTTTATTGCACTTTACCCGATTTTAAAACACATAAGACATTTTTGACTGGGAAAACTTGTTTTAAATGAAATAGAATATCATAAATTTATAAATGGGAGGAATTGGCGAGCTTTAGCTAGTTATCTGGAAAAAGTATAGATGGGAGATAGTGACAGAATTTAACTTTTGAACCTAAATTAATTCTATATGAAACTCGTCTATAAGTTATAGGATCAGTATGTTTTTTCACTTCTGTAATAAAGTACTCTTTCTCTCGTATATCTTTTCTCTTATGTATTTATTTCAGAATAAATCTGTTTAGTGATCAATAGGCCTACTAAACTAATCTTAAGTAATTAAACAACTGTAGTGCCAACAAAACAGACGGTTATTAACCATTGTTTGTATGCACTGAGCTATATAATGTTTTTATGTGCCTGTGAAAAAAATTATCTATATATATAAAATCCAATGTATGTATGTTTGTTTGTTTGTCCTTAATGGACTCCGAAACCGCTCGACAGATTGTAATGAAACTTTCATTATTAAGCATTATTCAAGGATGGTTTGTGTGAAGTTTGGTGCAGATCCGTCAAAAAGGCTCCGCCCCAGTGGCTCTGGAGTTTCCCATGTTAACCTTATGAGTACTCATATTTAAATGGAATTAATGAATCTTAACAACTGTTCCAATTTATACAAGTTGGTTCTGTTCTATGATGTTCATTAGCATTAAAGTTACCAAGGATTACCAATAGGGTGCAGCACTATTATTTTTTTTTAATTTATAACAACAGCTAATTTACAAACAAAAGGTGAGTGAGCGTAGCGAACGAACTTCAACCTGGAGGCGAGTTAGCGTAGCGAACGAGCCAACCTGAAGGCAACCTAAAGGTGAGTGAGCGTAGCGAACGAACTTCAACCAGGACGTGATTGAGCCATGCGAACGAGCTCACTTGTGAAGTTAAACGGGGCAAAGCCCGCGGGTACAGCTAGTTTATAATAAAGCACATTTTCATTTCATTTCATATAGAATAGATTTGTTTTGTTTTGATTGTTATTGTTTTTAAAACGTTTTAATTAGCTCGCCTTCTTGTCCGGTACACATTTTGCAATCAATTTTATATACTAATTTCTCGATGAGCTAGAGACTTGAAACTTGAAACACAGCTCACAAACGGATGACGATGTAATATTATATAATTTAATGTTCATATTTCCCTTGGGCTACGCCCATGGGCCCATGGGCTTGTTTTTTATTAGCTCGCTTTCTTACAAATTTTGTTATCAATTTTAAACGAAGTTCCCGATGAGCTAGAGACTTGAAACAGCTCACAAATGGATGACAATGCAATCTAGTTGTAACAAATAGTGAACAGCAACAATAATAGTATTAATATAAATAGTAAGAAAAATATTTACAAATCATAAATAGAAAGTTTGATGGCAACAGATCAAAGAAAACAGTGTAAAATTATTTTACAATAAATATCAACATGGATAGATGCAGGAACAAACATAAATATTCAGTTTTACAAATATTACATACATCAGAGACAAGATGAACAAATCCTGGTGAAAATCTGTGACTGGAAGTAGGCCTAGTTTACGCTCGTACAGGTTCAAGGAGTGAAGATTTCTGTGGCACATTTTCTGATATGAGAAATTGTGTCACAGAACACTAGAACAGGTCACAGTCCGGAGCCATACGGTTTCCAAGCCGGGCAAGACGAGCTAGTGGGTCGTAGATATAATATATTTTGTATTATATCTATAAACATTTTATTTATTTATTGCTTTATTAAAAACCATGAAACGTGATCGCTCCGCTCAACTGGCTTTCACTCTGTACCAAGAATCATTCAGTATTCCCTTTTGGTGAAGAATAAGAAGAGAGCCAATTCACTCAGTGTCAGAAAAGAGAAATAGTGAAGCTGCCTACAAAAGAATGAGAAATAGCCTATAGCATAGATAAAACATCCTATAGTAAGCAATAAAGCAACCCGAGAAAGGCGGAAGCCTGCTTTTCAGTCCAAGGCAGACTCAAGACTTCAGTGACTGAGACTATTGATTATACATACCTAACCTACTATGATATAATATATACACCCGTAGGAAACAGGTATATATATATATATATATATATATATATGTAAGACTAGACTGACTTCAATTTTCACTTCAGTCAGTTCAGAATTCAGACTTTAAGAGCAAGAGACCCAGAGTCAGAGTCTACTAAAATGTAATGTCAATGTCACTGTTACTGTCAGTGTCAGTTCAGTTAGTTTCAGTAGTTGTCAGTGAGAGAATGTCAGTTCAACCTCTACTCACTGCTGAAGTCTTTGCCCTTTACTCCAACGTCCTTAGAGATTGTTTGGATTGTAGGTTATTTTGTTTATTTAAATTAATTTAGGATGAACCGTTAGCCTTGAAATATTGATCTCTATAGACTTTTTTGTTGTAAAAATATAATTTTAATTGTGTTCATATCTTTTTGGAATGGAGAATGGTCTCCACGCGTGGCGTGAAGTTAAAGTTTTCAGAAGGCGAAAAAGTGTTATGCTACGAACCAGATCCTGCTAAAACAAAAGTATTATACAATTCAAAGGTAAGTTTAGTGTTAGCTTGTGTTATTACACAATTTTAAAGCAATGCACTTGCACTAAATCCACGCCTCAGCTAACTTAATGTGCGGCTATTAAATGGACGGTGTTATGCAAATAGGAACCATCCCACAAATGTCTTTAGAGGAGATATGAGCAAGCAAAGTTAAATCGGTATATAAAATCGGTTTTCCTATATAATAAATTTAAATCTTTTTATTTTATTAAAGTTATTTTTTTAATTAATTTTCATCATGTTTTTATATTTTTAAAATGCATTTTGGTGTAATAATTAAGGAAAATGTGGATTGGTTCTTTTTTGTTTTATTATGAAAAAACGGTAAGAAAGAAACATGCTACATGGTTCTCTTTTGTTAAATTTTATTTATCGTTCCAGAAGGACTCATGGTACTTGGATCCTTTTTGTAAAAATACTGGTTTAACAGGTTCACTACCAAGTGTCACAATCCTTTGTCTTTGCATGTATTTAATACGTAGTAGTGAATGAGTTAAAAAACTGGTAAAGGATAATGATGACTCTGGTGGTATTTTAACCTTTTTTATCAGCAATTAACATTTTATACAAAATGTGTATCACACAAATAAAATGAAAAAAAAACACATTTTGAAGTAGGTACAGCAAAAAAAAGCATTACATAAAAGGAACTTGTACCATATCACATATTGTTATTAGCCTACAAACACATTATCTATTGCAGTTCATTGCAATGAGCTACAATAGGCCTAGGTACATATTATTCTTTGGTTACGATCCGACAGCTAAAGGTTTCAGTCGTCTATTTCAATTTCAAAATCAAGTTCCCCTCCAAAACCATCCACATCATCTTCTATTTCTGCGCTTGAGTAAAGGGATTTATAAAACCCATGGTAGTTTTTTGGTAGCAAGTGGAGCATGGATTTTAAATCTTTAAGCTTTGCTTCAGCTACAGGCTTTCCATTGGGCCATAATAGTTGAAGGTCCGCCAATCGAAGACTGCGAGGTTCATCTTTGCTGGGGCGCCCTTTAGTCTTTTTCTGTGCCTTAGTAATGTCTAATTCTTCATGAGGCCCATCAAATTTTCTGCTCATGAAAATGGACATTGGTTTTTCCTTTTTCAGTAGAATTTCTCTTGTATTGAGCCAACTAACATCCTCTTTCTCGACAGTCTTTTTACGGTTTGTGACAGCTTCTTCCAGTGAATAACTTGACTTAAAATCTTCACTTCTCATCCGCACAACAGTTAGTGGATTTTGCTTCTTGCACTTTTCCATGATGGTAAAATAGTCATCTGGGCAATATACATGTTGCTGGTATTTTAGTGCGTTTTCAATTTTCCCAAAGTCATTATCATTGGGTAGAAAACTGTGACCTGGCATGGGGAATCTATGTGTGATTGTTTTTAGTGTAGGGTGATCATGAAGGAGAGCTTTGAGCATCAAAACTACCTTTATATTCCTGTTCTGGCCACCACACGAGTCACTCCACAAAATCAAACTTTCTGTCCCAGCTGGAAGTTTATTTTGGACATGTTTTATGATGGCAGAGCTCACTTCTTGGGCTCCTCTACCAGCTTCCCCCTCAACCCAGGTATAACAGAACCCCTTATCCTCCTTGCCAGTGTGGATGCCACAGTTGTAGACCCACAACTGTCGTTTGTAGAATACTATGTTTGTAGGGATACGCGGTAAAGGTAGTGTTTTCTGCAAATCAAAAGTTAAACATTCTAGTGACGGATTATCAGCAGCAGACTTCAGATCACTTTTGATTCTATTCATAGCAGTTTTGGCAGCAAGTTTATGTTCATCATACTCTTTCTGTATTTTTGACTCCTCTTCCTCATTTTGTGTGCTCTTAAGTTTTGCCACAAACATATCACACTTGTTGCAAGTATCTTTTTTCAAAGACTTGAATTTTAGGTTGTAGTTAGTGTAAAATACTTTTTTGAAGGAGGATAAGCTTACAACTTCATTTTGTGACCTTCCGTCGACGTACAATTCATACATTTTATTAATATTCATTTCAGGAGGCAGGAACAAAGCGCTTGTCTCCCCTCTTCGGTAATGTGAAGTGTATTTTGGTATTGCATCAATGCATTTCCTTATTTCATTTAATTTTTCTTCAGACATTGTGTTCCATCCTGCTTGTTTACCTCGTTGGTCGAGTAATGATTCAGACTTAAATTTTGATAAGGCCGTATTTATCCTTTTTGTTGACAATAGTAGGGTTTTTGCAAACATTTCTCTGCATACCACAACTTTGTTTAGGCTATAAATACGAGAACACGATTTAGGTCTAGCCTTCCCTGTAGTTTTAATCAGTGAATTATATGATCTCTTTTTTGGAACTTCTCTTACACTATTACAAATGTATAGATTTTGTGCATTGTAATCTCCAAGACTTTTAAACTTTTCGAACTCTTTTTGGCGATCTGCAACACAGATTTTGTCCTTGCACTTATTCCTGCACTGGCAATCAACATCTATAAATACTTTTTGTGGCACCACCATATGTTTTTTTGAAAAATTAACATACTCTTCATATTTGTACTTTCTTTTAGATCTTTCAACTCTGGTTAAATTTCCGTACTTTCTCTTTCTACCTCTTTTAGGCCTGCCTGTGCGTTGTCGTTCATGATTTCCTGCATCATCTTGTTCTTCCTCGCTACCTTGATCCTCTGAAACAATGATTTCTCCCTCATTGGGCTGAATCCTTCCAAGCTGCATCTGTGAATCCTAAAAAAAAAAAAAATACAATACTTAGTAGAGACTAGTATTTACTAAAGTGTGCACAGTATGTTTAAGAGTCTGTCTTAACACTGAGACAGTAGTCTGTTTGATCTGTAAATAAACATTGTTGTGCACGTTGTTTCAGTTTGAGTAGCCAACAGTTGCACGGCCAAATTTGAACTTGCACGGCCTCTAACTTGAGCGCTTGCGAGGGTTCGTTGGGTTACGTTTTATGAAATGTAAAACCTTAACCCTAACTTGTATAGTGAATGAGGTTTGTGATCTCCTGCAAACCCTTACATCAGGGCTTTGCGGCAGTGGTGAGGCGCACCGCACCCTTAATGAAGAACAAGTGATTTAGGTCAAGAGTTATGAGCTGTACGTAAATCAGATAAGAAGTCGGTATAGGACAGGTATATTTTTATATATGTATAATTTGTATTACCAATAAAATAGAACCTACTTACCTGCTCTACATCAGAGTCACTTCCTGAATGTTCAGACGGAACGTAGTCTGGGTCACTTATTGTACCATGATCATCAGTAATCATCCTAGGCCCACTTTTGATCATTTCTTGTCCATCAGTTTTACTGACGATTTCTTCTGCTACAAAGTTTGTATTATTATCATCCAATTTATATAAATCATAGGCACCATCACTTTTCTCTGAATCTAGAGTAGAGATTATTATTTGATGACAATCTTGGTTCACTTGCATTTTCTCTTGTCTTAAATTTCCTTCATTGGATTTTACATCACAAAAAAGCATATTATTCTCAATCTTCTGTAATTCTGAAATCTGATTTTCTTCTTGATTTTCTTTTGTTTCTAGTTGGGGATTCTCAAGCTGGTTTTGCTCAGATGAAACTTCAGAATTATGACTTGGAATGCAAACAAAGAGAGGACCATTTTCAAAGTTAATGTTGTTGTAATAGTTTTCAACAGCCATGCTTGTTGAAGGTGACATAGTTAAGGAATCTGAAAAAAGAGTATGTCTTAGGAAACATGTCCCAGTACTTTGGAACCAAATATATTTATCTATGGTGGTACTATCATGAGCCCCTCATATGTTTAATAAACGATGGAAAATAAAAGGTAGCCGGTCAAGTTATGCAACTCGGTCTGAGTCTACAACTTTTTGGTCAGCTATCAAGTTTCAAACTTTCTTCTGAATCGTTATATCCTAAGTAAATGAACAGAGGTAGAGACTGGTATAGACTTTTACACATGCGGCAATATTAGTAGTTATTACATTTGTTTGCACTAAACATTTTGACACTTTCCAAAACACTTCTTTTACACATGTTAAAATACAAAATTGAAGCAAGTTTGATCAAAAATTTATAGCTTCATTTGCACTAATTTTGACACGAATTATTTTTATAATGTTGGATTAGCCATGGTATCAACTAGGACAGTATTTTATCTTACCAGCTGCAACAGATAGAGGATCATCATTGGAAAATTCAATATCCATTTCAATAATATTCAATAGGGACTCATTAATGTCTTCTCCACCTGTTGTAAAACCCTCCAGTCCATGAACTAACGTGTTTTTAACTGGAAAAAAAACACACAAATGAATGTCACAGATTTTAAATATCAATCTACTGTGTATTGTTAAAATTGGAATGTGCGTTTGTGTGGCTGATGAAGAGAACAGGGTTTAAAAACTGCTCCTTCTTATATTTTTTTAGAATAAATTGTTCATAAGTGTTTTGTATTTTTCTGTGTTCGTACCATGGAAATGAAAGTTTTTTTTTTTTTTGCTATGGAAATTTAAAATGAGAAAAGTCTAGCGTTGAGCGGAAAGAGTGTTTTTTTTTTTTTTTGCTATGGAAATTTAAAATGAGAAAAGTCTAGCGTTGAGCGACGTTAGGTGCTCGGTCATGGTACTTCAATGTAAAAGCATTTACATTTTTCAGAGACTAACAAACCAAGTAAGCCTAATAAATTCATTTGTTTTTGGTCAACCTGTATCTCAAATCCATCAAAAACACCTAACAGCCTACACAGGATGATTTGCTGTAAAACGTGTAAATTTCCTAACAATTTATTACATTCAGAGTATTTGATAAACAAATCTATTTAAGCCTACCTGTTGGTGAATGTTGCAGGCTGGCAGTATTTACGTTATCAGGCTCTGGCACTGATTGCTTGTCACTGCTCACTGTAACAGATGATTACATTTTATCACTAAATTTTATTAGCAAGGGATTTGTTATAAAAATATAGGCCTACCTCTGTTTCCAACGATTTGTGGACCTACAAAGCTATTTTGCTAAAGAAAAAACCTTGGATATCTCATTATTCAAGACTACACTGTAGTTTCCTACAACGTTGTATATATGTCATAGAGAAAAAAGTATAGGTAGGCCTATATGAATTTTCAGCTAAAATGAAAAAAGAATAGCTTTGAGCGACGTTACGCGCTTGGTCTAGGTACTTCAATGTAATGGCATTTACACTTTTTAGAGAACAAACAAAGTAGCCTAAATCATTCTTTGTGGTCAACTTGTATCTCAAATCCATCAAAAACACCTAACAGCCTACACAGGATGATTTGCTGTAAAACGTGTAATTTTTCTGACAATTTATTACATTCAGAGTATTTGATCAACAAATCTATTTAAGCCTACCTGTTGGGGAATGTTGCAGGCTGGCAGTATTTACGTTATCAGGCTCTGGCACTGATTGCTTGTCACTGCTCACTGTAACAGATGATAACATTTTATCACCTAATTTTATTAGCAAGGAATTTGTTATAAAAATATAGGCCTACCTCTGTTTCCAACGATTTGTGGACCTATAACGCTATTTTGCTAAAGTAAAAACCTTGGATATCTAATTATTCAAGACTACACTGTAGTTTTCTACAACGTTGTAAATATGTCATAGAGAAAAATGTTAAGGTAGGCCTTAAATCTACTAGTACTAGCCTAGGCTAGGTTTAGTTTAGGTTAGGTCAGTTATAAACAGTAAGGTTGTATTGAAAGAATGAATAATTAATTTACTCACCATTTTCCTTGCTTTTGCACTTTTCTTTCTTTTTCAAAGCTTCAAGAATTAACAATCCTCTTGATTTCATTGTCGAAATTTATGTTTATTTGCTACCGCAATAACATAAAACTCATAATCATCAACAACATGAAAACAAACTTAACCATCTGTAAGACAACCAAACTGTGAACATTACAGAACCAACACATGTTGTGTTTACTATCAGCTGTTTTAATTGTATTTACAAAAAAGAACCAACTAACATGGCATATATTATTTACACCGACTTATGAAAACTGCTAAATGAAACCATGTCACTAGTTCTGCGAAATAAGTCAGAATTAATAATTGCAAACAAGAACCAAACAGCTTGGTTTACAGTAGCGTAACTTCATTCTAATTTCCGAAAAAGAACCATGGTACATGGGAACTCATTTCGATATTGGGTAATGAATATTGCAAAACAGAACCATGTCACAAGGTTCTGTAATAAAATGTGATTAGTTTGAATTCAAAAAAGAACCAAGTAAGTTGGGTCCAAATAATATTTGTTAAACAAAAGGGCAAAAAGATCCAAATCACATGAGATCATTTTGTAAAAATTACAACAGCTGAAAACCAAAACAGCTGTTTTTAAACATTTTTTTAGAATTTTTTGTGAAACTAATATTCTTGGTTCTTTTTTGCAATATAAAGTTTTGCTTGGGCTGTACACTGTGGTGACAATAAGTCAAATCCTAAAAAAATGAGGGTTGGTTCCTTTTTGCATAACACCGTCCAAATATTCAAAACATTAAGGGATGTTTCTTGACCCCAAAACATGTTTATTGATTCAAATAGCCCTAGACCCACTCCTTTAAATACCAACATACTGAGGATTGTTTTGATTTGCCATACTAGACTAGGGACAATAAGTTAAAACTAAGCTATTTAGCCTATCCTGTAATCTTCAAAATTACACAAAATTTCATTTAAAATGGTGTTTTAAAATAAATTTGATGTGTTCAATGTTTTTTTTTTAACATAGTTTTATTTACAATCTGTTTTAATTGCATTAAACAATAAGTAAAATTATGGCATTTTTAACAATAAAATAAAAATTGGAATGCACGAGTTAGCAGCTAAGTGGCTTAAGCACTACGGTAACAAAAAAAACAAAGAAAATAAATTTCAGAGCTGCTGTACAAATCGAGTCGGAAGGTCTAAAACATTTTCTCTTTTTAGTCTGTATGTAGACCTCATGTAGACTGTTGTCTAAGAGGTTGAGGGCCAAATGGTTCAGATGATACTCAAGCTTTGAGATGTACATTTTTTACTGCAGCTCGTAACTTCTTCAGTAACAAATGGAATTTTGGAATCATTGTGAATGGTGACATTGGATACATACCAAGGGGCTTTCAGGATGGTTCTTAGTAATTTTGACTGAAATCTTTGTAATATATCCAAGTTTGATTTTGAAGCTGTTCCCCACAAAGAAATGCCATATGTCCAATTTGGTTTGAGGACAACCTTGTAAAGCAATAATTTATTTTCTATTGACAGTTTTGAATTTTTATTCATGAGCCAAGCCATTTGTCGAAACTTTGAATTTAGATGTTGCCGTTTGTTCGAAATATGGCTTTGCCAGGTAAGTTTTCTGTCGAGGTGGTTGCCCAAATATTTTACTTCATTGTGGTGAGGCAGAAGACAGTTAGCTGTTCTGGTGGTGAATGTTATGTGTGCAGACTTGCTTTCGTTCACTTTGATTCTCCATTTTTGTAGCCACGTGGAAAGACTGTTTAGGGGTCAATCCATATCAAGTCATCCAGGGCATGACACCCATGTTCTCAGATTCTAATGATTTTTTTTTCATGTGTTCCTTTTGCTATTCTAATTATGAATACCAAATTTCATTTTGATATCTTGAATACTTTTTTAGTTATGAATTTTCAAAAATTGCTAAAAAAGAGCGTTTTCCCGTTTCCGCCGATTATTGGGAGTACGAAATTGTTTTTGTAAAAAAATCATTACTCAGTCAGTATTTATCATATCACAATGGGACTTTCACTAAAATGTTCAGAAAATCTTGTAGAATTAAGGAAAAATATGTTTATGGGGGTGGTCATTTTATGTTCCAGTCAGTAATCCATCCAACTTTAATTTTGGTCTAATCTTTAGCAAAAAACACGAAATTTTGAAAAATTGATGAAAATTATAGGCACTATGTAAACCAAAGGTATTTTATCATATTTATATTCCTAAGGACATATACTAACAGGTTCTTAAAGAAAAACACTGGGATTTTCACTGCCTTTTAGTTTGTACCTCAATAAACAGAAAAATAAAATTTTCATAAAAAAGGCAGAGTGCGGACAGTTAAACCTGTACTAAGAATCAATAGCTACTTCAGAAAGTGTTATTAAAAAAATTATCAAGACCCATTTATAATAAAGTAGAATTATAATTTTGAAAGGCAATAAAACTGAAGTTTAAAAGCACTGACCCAAATTGGTAGGCCTATAATGTCAAGCTTAGTACAAAAAAGACGCTTGAAAAAATATGTACAGTATTAAGAAAATATGAAAACTTCTTACCACTAATCCTTAATGAATACAATTTTTGGAGATACTCAATCTGCTTTTTACATGAAGCACTTAATTTTGTACTTGGTTTTTTGTCAACATGTTTTGGCACTGTTTTTCAATTAAATCCATTTCTTTTTTCGGGAAATAATACATTTAG